TAATATTAAAAATATTTAAAATATCTTTTTTTAAAAAAAAATAATTTTTTTTTAGTAAAGTAATACTTTATTTACTATTAAATTAAAGTATAATAGAATAATCAAAATAATATAAAAAGTTAATTTAAATAATTTTTTATTTAATATAAAAAAATTATAAAGATTAGTTAAAATTTGAAGAATTTTTATTAGAAGTAATTATTAATTTTTATATTGAGATACAAATTTTTTTGAATTAATTTATATAAATTTTAAAATAAATTTAATATAAAAAAGAAAGAAATTAAACTTTAAATAAAATTAAAATAGAAAAAATATATTAATTTTTATATTATAATATATAAAATTTATATTTATTAAAAAATTATAAAATATTTTAGAATAGTTATAAAAATAATATTTATTTTAATAATATTAATAAACTTTAAAATTTTTAAAATAATAAAATAAAAAATTTTCAAATTAAAAAATAAATATTTTCAAATAAAAAATAAATTATAATATAATATAATTAATTAAAATTATATAATAATAATATTATATTTACAATTATTTATAAAATAATTTAATATATTATTATTTGAATTTATTCTGAAATATAAATCTAATTATAAATTTGAATTTAATTAATTTAATTTTTTAAGTAATTATATAATATAAGATATAATTTTTATTATTAAAATTTATAAATATATTTAAATTTTTTTTATAAAAATAAATTATAAAATATTAAATTTTTTAATTAATAAATTATTTTTATTATTAATAAACTTTATTATAAATATTATATTTTAACTATTATTTTTTATTTAAAATTAAGTATTATTCTAAGTTTATTATTTTTATTTTAAATTAATCTATTAAATTATTAAACTTAAATTATATTTTATTATGAGATATCTAAGTTATTTTTAATAAAATTATAAAAATATATCAAGTTTATGAAAATAATAAGTAAAATTTATTTGATACTATCCTCTTTATAGTTATCACTTCAAAAGCAAAATTGAATAACTAAAAAGAGATATGACTATAAAAAGATTTTTTTAATTAATAACTAGAAAACTTAAGATGACTATAAGATGTAATTATAGAGAGATCTGACTATATCTTTGAAATAAATTTTTTTGCAAGCTTTTTAAAAATTAATAATTTTATTTCAGATTTAAATTTAATAAGTTTATATATACTTTTTATATTTAATATTGAATTAATAAGTAAAGAATAACTTAACTTGAATTTTTAAAAACAAAATTAATATTTATAATTATAAATAAAATTATTTATTGATTTGCTCATTTAATTATTATTTCTCTTTTTTCAATTCATTTGTAATTATATAATAAATCATATATATTATATGTTCAAGTGAATTTTTTTATAAACTGCATTCTTAATTATTAATTATTACTGTACTGTAATAATCCTTCCAGATCATTTTTATATGAATTCGAAATGATTTATTAAGAAATTTCTATACTGAATAAAAATCATAAAAACATTATGCTTAGATCTTGATTCTTTGATTTTACTTGATCTATAATAATTAAATTATTTTGAAAAAAAAGAAAAAATCACCTTATTACTCATAATTCCTTAATAAAGAAAAATTTATAGCAAAATATCTTTTCTGTTTCATTTCATAAATGAGTAAATGAGAGAGTATATGAAATAATCCCATAGAATTGTTACATGAATTTGTCTTTCCCAGTTATTTCTAGAAATTTGATGATAATGTAAAAGGTATTCTCATTTCTGAACATTTAAGTTCGAAAATAGTTCATGTAATAGATTCATATGAATATATGATATTGACCTCGATCCAATGTTGCATGTAATGTACATAACGAAACGTCAACAGCTAGATGCAATCAATAAAATGGATCCAGCCATTCGTTCTAATGTATTTTCAAATAGTTAATTTACATTAGCTTGTTGATAAAAAATGTTCAGCTTATCAAGCACTTAGTCCAGATACTCCAAATCAAAACTCGTTTCGTAAACTTGACCAGAAATTAGATTGCGAGCAGTCGCTAGAATTTCTATCTTGCCAAACGTTAGACTAAACTCAATGGGTCTGTCTTTACCAAGATGCATATCCGGAAGTTCCTTCAAGAAAAAAGAAAAAATTCCAATCTATCAAATAAAAACTTGTACAAAAAAAGAATAACAATAACAAATAAACTCACAGCAGTCAACTTTCCAATCATTTTCATTCCATCTTCATCGCAATACTTAGCGGAATCACGATCAGTCGTGTAAATAGGAAAAGAAATGATACTTTGTTCCGGAAACGACGGATGTAGAATGCACGTGAATTTTTGATTAACTTCTACTTTAGAACCGCGAATTGCTAATGGTTGGAATACATCTATTACGCTGCCAGACACACGACGATTGATTGGGTCGTCTTCATTCCAGTTTCTCGTGATGTCAATTCCGTAAGTTCGTTTGAGTACGCGAGTTCGAACAATATCCATATCAAGCCCTAAAATAAAGATAGGTAACTCGAATTCGATCCTTCAATAATTCAACAAGAAATGACATACCATAATAAACCGCCCCTCTCACGATACTGGCGATCGGCTCGATAGGGACAGCAATATATGAAACTTTACTATTGAATTCTTCTCTCACTCTCTTTAAAAGATACGGCGACTGCGCAAATCCGCCAACCAGAAAGATAGCCGAACATGGATACTCAGTTTTCATCAGCTGAAGCTTAATGAGCTTCAAAATCCTCACCAACACTTTGTCAAAAAATTCCTTCACCGTATCAAAATCTAATTCGATCAGCCATTCGGCATCTTCCATGGTTTTCAAGGCTTCGCCAACCACATATTTCTTTATGGTTGGACACACGTCCTCGAGATCTAAGTCGTGAGTTTGAAACGTCTCACGCTCTCCGTCGAATCGTAATTTCACCGACAAACAAAATTCTTGCAAGAGATATTGTAGTTGTGAGTAATGATGTTCTCTTAGTTTTGCTATTGCGCCCACTCCTAATTTCCGTGCAAGAAATTTTAGAAATTCACGATCCACGAATGTTGAACCGCAGTATTCTCCAGAATTTTCTGTCATTTCTTCTAATCTGCCTGCTGCTGTGAATTTTCGGGTCGTCAAGTCTGTTGTTCCACCACCACAATCAACGATCATAAATGCGTCTTGTTCAAATTAAAAAATGGTGATGTCAATAAATACTTGATGACTCTACGTGGCATACCTTTTAAAACGTGAATTCTCACCATTCGCTTTTAATGAGTATTCCTTAAGTACCCTAAAAAAATCGTTATTAAAACTATTTAGTTTGAGGAGCAAAGACAATGTAGGAAATAATTCAGAATACCTTATACAATATATGGCAGCAGCCTCAGCTAACAAAAAAATTTATTTTAAAACAATAGAATTGATCAATCTGTCATATGATACAAATCAGCAGTTTACAATGGACGTAACGTACGTTCAGTCGTGAACTCTAATTTATCCGAGTTCAAAGTGTCCAACAGTCCTGCTTTATAGATGCATGTTCGCATCGTTCCTTTTGCATACTCATTATACTCTGCTGGAACTGTTACAACTACTCTCACGTGTTTATAGAAATCAAGACCTGGCCATCTTGTTTCTAGTGTTTTTTTTATCAACTATTATTAATAATCAAAATTATCGTAAATACCCAAAACACGTGTGCATAGACTACGTATGTGTAGACTCGCAACCTGTTTATCCCACCCCATAACCTGAATGCGCTACGGCTTACTTTTCCCATTTCGCATAAATAATCAGCAACCGCTTTCTGATAATCAAGCCCGGGCAGTAATGGTGGTTTCTCGTTTTTATCAAGATTAGAAAAGTGCAATTTGAAGAGTTCTACCGGTTTCTGTAACTTTTTATCTGATGATGACGACGGCCTTTTCTTCGATGGTTTCTACATGAAAGATGAAAAGATTTCATTTTTTCTGGGAACATTACTAAATGTATGGCTTTTCAGTTTTGTCGCATACTTCAGAAAGAGCAGGATTTCCCCATTTAACCACATTTAATTCCTCGTCATATGCGAGTACAGTATTCGTCTTCAATTGTCCTCGGATTCCTGGCCATGCCTCATTAGTTTCTATGGTATCTGGATTCGCAACACTTGCTAATGCAAAGCCTAATTTATTGATTTTTAGTTAGTGTGTTTGGTGTAAATAACGATTCGATTGATTCACCCTTACCCGAATAAGTTGTTCCAAAATCTATCAACAAAAAGGATAATAAATGATTAAACAAAAAAAGATTAACCGTCAATCAAACCAAGAAAAAAACCTTACCAATACCAACAACTACTCGTATATCTGATTTCTTCCTCATAATTTGAAATAAATCAATTAGCGATTAAACGGTAAATTTGAGGATCTAGAAGTGAAATTACAGCAAGAAAATTAGACGGATACAATGAATATTGATATCATATAAAAACCTTGTCCAAAAAATTTTAGTGTGCATGCATGATATTAATAGAATACATGGATTATTTAAAATTCAAGCAATACACACGGAAACTGTATCCAAAATGTGAAACAGAAACATCTCCCATATATCGACATTTTGATTCTGAGATCTATAGTCGCAAAACATTGGTCCGGGGCAACCATGTGTATAAAAAAGTGAGCCAGAATGGTCATTCAATGACAGAAAAGTGAGAACCCGAACTATGGATTCTAACGTATTTCGGAACTTTCAGGGTGCAGATTGCATGCATGCGTGCTATTTATACATGTAAGTTGACTTTAGGTTAACGTAACATTGTGCGAATGTCGATTCTCTATACTGATCCTATAAAATACAGTATTTATATGCTCTCATATAACGATAGTATTTTTTGCTTCACCGAAAATTCGAGACATTAATCTCAACGTCCATAACTAAAAATATGGAGTATAGTGATCATCATTCTACTGGAACATCGGAAGATATCAATGATGACAAGAATGTCACCACCGCTGCTGACCATTCTAGACGTCGTCGAAATGTTCGACCGAAACCAAGACCGAGATCCGGCATACGGGTCAGAAAATCTAATCGATCTAATTCACTGTCTCGTAACTCTTTTAATGGACAACCACAACAACATATAACGTCAAGTGATACAAGAAAAAGTAATTTACCTCCAGTTAATACTGTGCACAGAGACGTATATAATTATGATCAATATGATCATCAATTGCCCTCATCATCCTCTTCAGTGTATAATAATAACGTTTACGAGCGTAAAGACATTGATTATCACAATAATATGTATCAACAAGATGGTCGAGTAATAGAGGAGGAATATTGGAAACCACCGCCAACTCGGCCGCAAAATAGACGGGTTTCCACCATGCCAACCTCCGCATCAATAGATCAGCGAATATCTGACTACAAAAACAACAAAAAATTAGAGCAACGAAGCTTACAGATGCAGTGGCAAAACTTACAATGGCAAAATTACATGGCCGAAACCGAGAATAGAATTAAATCCCTTGAAAAAGAAAACAAAAGGATCCTCGATAAGTCCAGCGTGCTTCAGACACGTAGTGAGAACCTCAGTCAAGAAATCATTCAACTCTCGTCCGAGAATCGGAAACTTGTGCACGAGATTCATGATCTGAAATCGAGGTTAGAGAACAGAAAGCGAGAGAATTCATTCCTGGAGAATGAATGCAGTAGACTTTCGAATGAATGCAGTAAGCTTTCGGGTGATTGCAATAGACTTTCGAATGAATGCAATAGACTCTCGAACGAATACAATCAACTTTCGAGTGAATCGCAAGCAGAGAATCAACAATTGAAGATGGAAAGGGATATGTGGATGCAAAGATCCGGCAGTGCTGATTTACTTGCTCAGAATCTATCCAATGAGAATCGATTATTGAAGATTGAAGCTACGAAATATCAGTCCGCTCTTGGAAAAGCGATGAATATTCGATTTGATGATAATGATAATAATAGCACGGTCAACTTGATAAAGGATATTACTGAATTGCAACACACGTTAAGATATTTTTCCCAATTAAAAGGGAAAGATATTAAGATTAACGAGGAGAATGCTTTGAATTTATTGCAACAATATGATTGCCAATGTGATGACCCTCAACAGAACAAACCAATGTTGAGCGCTGTCTTACAACGACATATCTTGGAGAAAATATTAAATGAGGCAGCCGAATTTTTTCAACCCAATGATTCTAATAACGATGACAAGAAAGATTGTGAAGACAATAAGCTCGAAAAATATGTTGTTAACAACGAAGTTGTTATAGACAATAATCTCGAAAAAAATTCGGATAACAACGAAGATGATAAAAAAGACAACCATCTCGAAAAAAACTCGGGTAGCAACGAAGATGATAAAGACAACAACCATCTCGAAAAAAATTCGAACAAAGAAGATGATAAAGACAACCATCTCGAGAAAAACTCGGCTAGCAACGAAGTTGATAAAGACAACCATCTCGAAAAAAATTCGAATAGCAATGAAGATGATAAAGACAACAATCATCTCGAGAAAAATTTGAACAAAGACAACGAAGATGATAGAGACAATCATCTTGAAAAAAATATCAATCATTTGACTAACAACGACAAGGAAGACGGAGAAGATAATAATCTCGAAAAAAATGTTAATACTCCTCACAACAAGGAAGATGAAGATAATAATCTCGAAAAAAATATTGTGACTCTCACTAACAATAACGAAGATGACAAAGTCAATTATCTCGAAAAAAATATAGTCATTAAGACAAAAGACCTTATCAGTATGATTCATAAATTCGTGGAAACGCGACATGGAGTAGATAATGTGTCTGCGGTAACTCCTATTCATCTTCGTCAACAAATCTACGGATTATTATCAAACAGAGGATTCGCAACAACGCGGAATCCTCACCCATTCCTCAGTAATTTGAAGGCTAAAGTAATTGAAGAGATCAACAAATATCGCACCATCATCAATGAAACACGAAAACAAGAACAAGAACGTCGGGCAGAAAATCTGGTCATTGAAACGTTACGTATCTTCTGTTTTCGTCTATACGCTCAAGAACCACCTGCTCAATATATGTGGATTGAGGCTGGTAGTGAAGTCAAGCCTAACATGATGGAAGGTCCGGAATTGGGCGGGGATGAGGATAATTTAGAAGTGGAAGTTTGCTCATTTCCCGTAATTGGTGTAAATAGTAATGATAAGGATGACGCTCACCGACAAATTTACAGTAAAGCTAAAGTTTATACACGTGAGCGTAAGAGTAATAGCGAGGATCATGTGGTAACGGAAGTGATTTCAGATGCACCACCTCAGCCTGTAACTTGACTTCTCATTATTACATGAATC